AAAATACACATGTATATTCACTGAACATACCAGGTACATTGTCAGAACATACACATGTACATTCACTGAACATACCATGTACATTCCCAGAACATTCAGTGTATTAACTCTGACAGATTCCGGGGACATACATGGAATGTCCATAATGCAACTCATGTATGTCCCAGGAATATGCATGTACATCACATGAATGTTCCAGGTATATTCTGGAAATATCATTTTGGTATGTGGGTATTTTTGTGGGTTGAATGCTTACCGGTCACTTTCAGCACCACTAAAGGGTCGCGCATTGGAATGATGTTAGTGAGGTCCCTCATGGTAAAGTCCCCGGCGGGATGCACCTGATCGGAGCGGAATGTTCCGGAGTTTAAAATCACTAAGTCGGCGCCGGTGGCCGACAGAATCACGTCGCAAACCTTTTAGGAAACGAGATTTTTCAATTTGTTTGCTATTGGGGTCTTTGGTGCTCACCCAATTGCCTAGATTGGACTCCGATGTTCTAATTGAGGTGAACCGTCCATCCAGCGGGACTGCAAAGCAGCCCAGCACGTCATCCATTTTACTCTGGATAATGTCTAGAAAAATAGAGCGCACTTGTAATCCACGATCTGGCAGGGATGCGCGCTTACTAGTATATTTTTCCAGTTTCTCGCTCAAACCGGGATCCTCCTGGTACTGGGCGGTCACGTTCATCTCCTCGATGGAAACTTCCGGCCGAAGGCCGTTTTTCGCCTTTTCGAAATTGATCACGATTTTACTGAATTGTCGGAAATCCGTGCCGCTCTTGATCACGTACTTTCCATTGATCAGCTTCTGCTCGTAGACATGATCGTGACCCCCCAAAATCAAGTCAATTTCGTCGCAATTCTCCGCCAATTTCACGTCGTTTGGAGTACGCATATGAGTCAGCGCTATCACGTAGTCACATCCCTGAAAGGTAAGACAACAGCTGATGTTTCTCCGGGATGTTTGCAACAACCCAGATAGCCCAAAATATTACATACATATTTAGGAAATATTTATATTTTTTTGCTAAATATTTCAGATCAAAAGCAGATATTTCTTAAATATTATTTTAAAAATATTTGTTTCTTATATTTCATTAGCATGAAACAAATAAGTTATTAATAATTTTCTTATTACATAATACTTTTTGTACCTATATATAACAACCTTAACACCCAAAAAGTTACTAA